ACCAAGATGAACGTTCTTTCTTTTTTCAAAGGTTGTTTAGAGAGCTTTAATGACTCCAAAGTACTTTTATTGAGCAATTCTTACAAGCTAACGTGTACAGCAAAGCTATATAGGTTTGTAAGCTAGTCGTCAAAACCAAGTTCACGATAACAATTATCACGTATAGTGTTATGTTGCCCCAAGATTACAGATCACCGCTGCGCCCTTCAATCCATAAAACAGGACAATCTTCGTATGTGAGGGGGATATTGATAATAAGAAATGTATACATACCTAACTGATGCATATATCCCGATAACTTTGTGAAAGAGTCATCTGAAAGGTCGCACTATCGCACACGTCGTAATTTATGCATATCGCTTGTCAGGTCGCCCCGCCGTGGCAGTCTTGTGGCTTAGGTATACTCAGCTGCTGACCCGTAGGTTGCGGGATCCAATCTCGGCTCTGACGGCTTAATTTTCGATGGAGGCGAAAATGCTGTAGGCCCGTGTGCTCAGATTTGGGTGCATGTTAAAGAACCCGAGGTGGTAGAAATTTGCGGAGTCCTCCACAACGGCGTCTCTCATAATCATATAGTGGTTTTGGGACGTTAAACCTCACATATCGATCAATCAAATGAAATCAAGCTTGTTAGGTTCGTCTAGTCAAGGATACCATGGCTGAACAAGTAAGTGGATAAGCTAATCACACGAGCGCGGAGTGTCGCCTCTTGCTTTAGGCCAACTGATTGTCTAAGATCTTCAGGAATGCAGCCTGCGAATGTTAACAGCATCATCCAAGAAGTGGTACCCAACAACTACAGCACGTCGAAATAAATACAAAACAATGAATATGAGATGACAGGTTACATCGTACATAGCTATGTTAAGTGAATTTTGTATACGGGTCTGTACTGATAGGTGGTGAGCATAAGGTTATAGTATAATCATTTGAATATTCGAAAATTGATACCGTTCTTGTTACGTTCTCTTCAATGAGTTTAACACAGTGTCTCTTGTCGGTGAGATTCGAAGCTGGTAGTGATATTCGTCAAATCCATGGCACGTGCTCAAAAATATATACTAACAGTGCTTCTACCGTGTCGTTTACAGCCCAAATTCACAAACCTGTTGTTCATAGGTACTCTATCGCCGACTTTCTTTGCCAGCGATATGCGATTAACATGGTTACGTCGTTACAATTTTATGTCACAACAACCTATTATATATTGCTAGAAACCACGGAAATCAAATAATTCTCTAATATTGCGTGTTTTTTTAAGAATCACAGTAAATGGGAATAAAGAATTGAATGCTCTATAAATATCATCTCTAGGATTCCAAACTTTAGGAGCAAGATTTCTTGATTTTTATTTTATTTCTTTTTTTAACAGTGGAATGGTAAATTTGTTGGCGTGTATGTCTAAAGACATAAATGGCCACATCTTCAACTATCGCAGTGATAATGTATTCATGATTTCGCTGACAAGCTCTATGGTTTTTTTCTTTGTTCGAATTGCAGACTCATAAGTTGCAAATTTATTTTACGAAGAGAGTCATGTTGCACAAAACAGGGAATAACGTTTTTTGTTTTTTTTATCAGGCGCTGCATGCACGCTTTTGTTGCAGTATACAGAGAGGTAAAATATGCTTCTCGTTGAGCGTGTAAAGAGCGCAGTAAAAACAACTTTTGTGACAACTCGAAGGCCGCATTCCGTCGCGACTACGAGTGAATTCTCCTGCGTGCAGCGCCTTTCACACAAGCAAAGTTCACGCAAAGCAGCCCACGACTTTCACAGAAATAAATAAATAAACAAATTATAATGTAGTCTGCACGAAGAACTGGAAGTGCTGTAGCTGTCACTTGGAGGAGCTGTGCCTCAGAGTCTCGTACGTCAACAAGAGGATATTTTTTATTTCACGCCATCGAAATTCCGCTATGTTGTGGAAAGTGTAGTCAGAAAGTGTAGTTATGTTTGTGGGCGTTTTGAAAGCTCGTTGTAAAGCAAGGTCTGCTTAGAAGGGCATTGCGAATGCAGAGGTGTAAAGCTAAAATTACTGAAACGTGTTTTTTGCGGAGTCACACTGACGACGAATGTTTGGTTTGTTTAGTTTCATTTAAAAAAAAAACGGTCCCCACTACGTTATAAAATTGGTGGAAGCTAAGGTTCAAACCTCTAAGCAGGAACTTTTAGTCATCACGAAAATCAACTTTTACGCATTTTCAAAACATCCTCTTGCTGCTTGCTGTATATTAAAATATGACCTTTATGATATATGCACGCGTTTTAATAATGAAGACTCGCTCGCTGCTATTCCTGATCATATAACGTGATTTTTTTTTTGGTGCGGCCAATTCGTTACGTTTAATCGGAAATAGCGTGTAAACTATATCGTGACTTTTTTTTCGGTAAAGACCACAATTCTTCTGCTGATGAGACATCCCTCAGGAGCCCTAAACATGTCTGAGACTTCTTGCTATGCCCACGTTCAATTGTATACAGCGTGTAATATACTATACAATTAGGCAATGCAGGATATGTAAAGCAGCGAACCAGTGTGGCAAACGTAAGGACTTGTGTGCCTTGCGACGTGGAAAGAGTCCGCGTCTTTCTTTCCTGTACGGCTGGCTTAGGTTCGTGGTCACAGAAAATGCATCAAATATACCAATGCAACTATAGTCTATCCTATTATATACAGCCTATAGTCTATCCTATTATTATTGTCTCCTGACGGGAAGAGTACCAGAGTCTTGGAAGAACGCTAACATCATCTTAACACATAAGAAAGGAGATGACAAGAACTTGAAGAACTACAGGCCGATGAGCTTGCTCTCTGTAGTATATACAAGCTATTTACAAAGGTAATTGCTAACAGAGTAAAGAAAACATTAGAATTCAATCAACCAAAGGAACAAACAGGATTTCGAACAGTCTACTCAACAATCGACCCCATTCTTACTATCAATCAGGTAATAGAGAAATGCTCAGAATATAACCAACCACTATACATAGCCTTCATAGATTACGAGAAAGCGTTTGATTCAGTAGAAATATCAGAAGTCATGCAGACACTGCGGAATCAGGGCGTCGATGAAGTATATATAAACATCCTGGAAGAAATCTACAGGGGATAAACTGCTACCATAGTGCTTCATAAAGAAAGCAACAGAATACCAATCAAGAAGGGTGTAAGGCAGGAGGACACAATCTCCCCAATGCTATTTACCGCGTGCTTACAGGAGGTTTTCAGACGCCTAGAATGGGAACAGTTAGAGATAAGAGTTAATTGAGAGTACCTTAGTAACCTGCGCTTTGCCGATGACATTGCATTGCTGAGTAACTCAGGGGACGAATTGCAACTCATGATTACAGAGTTAGACAAGGAGAGCAGAAAGGTGGGTCTTAAAATTATTTTGCAGAAAACGAAAGTAATGTACAACAACCTCGGAAAAGAGCAGCGCTTCGAGATAGGTAATAGTGCACTTCAAGTTGTAAAAGACTATGTCTACTTAGGGCAGGTAATAACCGCGGAGCCGAACAATGAGATTGAAATAACTAGAAAAATAAGCATGCGGTGGAGCACATTTCGCAAGCACTCTCAAATTATGACAGGTAGATTGCCACTATCCCTCAAGAGGAAGGTATATGACAGCGGTATCTTGCCGGTACTTAGCTACGGAGCAGAAACCTGGAGACTAACAAAAAGGGTTCAGCTTAAATTGAGGACGACGCAGCGAGCAATGGAAAGAAAAATGGTAGATGTAACCTTAAGAGACAAGAAGAGAACAGAGTGGATTAGGGAAAGATATTATAGTTGAAATCAAGGAGACGAAATGGACATGGGCCGGTCATGTAGCGCGTAGACAGGATAACCGCTGGTCATTAAGGGTAACTAACTGGATTCACAGAGAAGGCAAGCGGGTTAGGGGGAGACAGAAGGTTAGGTGGGCAGAAGAGATTAAGAAGTTTGCGAGTATAACTTGGCAGCAGCAAGCACAGGGCCGGGTTAACTGGCGGAACATGGGAGAGGCCTTTGTCCTGCAGTGGACGTAGTCAGGCTGATGATAATGATGATGATGATTATATACAGCGCATCAGGAGCCCACCGAGCTGCGTCTTCGTGGAGGTTCTGTGGTTACGGCATATTTACAATCATCCAAGAGACTCAGGGGCCTGTTGGCCTCTCGTTGTAAAGAATTTTTTGCTGTAGCTGCATATAAGCTACTTCGCATTTATCTCCTTATTTTGTGGTGGAAAGAAAGAAATGATCTCTTTTTCTAACTGCCCTTTCGCATTCCTGCAGCGCTGGGTAGCCAACCAGGCATGTGTTCGGCTAACCTATCTTCCTTCTTTCTTGTCTTCGTCCTTCTCTACTTCTCTCGTGGTGCTTTAGCTACACACTAAAGCTTAGCTTGAGGCGAAATTGGTTGTACTGTGCCATAAAACATTTGCATTTTCTAAACTTCTCAAGAACAGTGGTGCATAAGAGAACTTTAGAATTGGTGTCAACTTGTCAGATGTGATTTCCTTGCTCTTTTTCTTGTTTTAGAATAAATACCTCTGTCCTCTGAAGTTAGATCGTTATACCATGATCGTTATACCACAGGGATACCTGATGTCAGCTTAACGAAAGAAAGAAGGAGAGAGAGAAAGAAAGAAAGAAAAAAAGAAAGAAAGAAAGAAAGAAAGCAAGAAAGAAAGAAAGAAAGAAAGAAAGAAAGAAAGAAAGAAAGAAAGAAAGAAAGAAAGAAAGAAAGAAAGAAAGAAAGAAAGAAAGAAAGAAAGAAAGAAACCAGAGTGATATGAACACTATAGTGTGAGGCGGGATCCTAAATTTACCGATTTTATACCGAAGGCCTGTGGCTCCTACTTTTTGCCCCATCTATGTTCAAGGATCGATCCTCCCGAACAGCCTGCATGGACATCATGCAGGTTTCTCAGGCGCACTGCACCATTAAAAGCCAGAAAAAAAAAGTTGCCGATATTTCTATTTCACGGAAAAATTTAATGGTAGCGAAAGGGTTGGGTGTCGGACGCATTTTGTGTACGCGTGCTCTGGACACATGCATGCTTTGCGCGCACACGTGGCTGCCCCTATACGCGCATGCATTAAGTGAGCCGCATGACCGGGCCATATATACGCGCACCGTGTCTTGACCGCTCAATGAGAGGACGCTTGTTGCGGACTATCGCCTTGCCGAGCGATCGATCAACGGGCGACGTTTCTTTCATGCGTTTTCCGCGACAAGATAATGGCGAGCACGTTCTAACGCCCCGGGAACAGCTCCGCGAAGCGTGAGCGGTGGATTATAATGAATCACTTGCGGGACCATTATTTTCTCGCGCTCGCGAAATGAGGCGCTGATGTGCAAGGTCTTCCTTGAAGCCAACAGAGACGTATACACATGGCTCCGCGCCCTTTGGGTGTATACACGCCCGCTGGGTGTTAAGCAAAAAAATACGCGCTCATCACACATATAGCCACACTCTGGAGGAAGGAGAAAGGTGTCGGATTCAAAACGAGAAGAATAAAACGATGCAACGCCCCACTTGATGACGACCGCGCGCAAAACAGAGGACCACAGCGCACGGCGGGCATCGTTTAAAAAAAAACGGCCTCGAGCCAAACGCGACCGTGGAGAAGAGTCGGAGAAAGCTGGTGACGAAAAAGTCGCTGCGGCGCCAAATTTCCGGCACACACAGTGCAGCGGGGGCCACAGCAGTGCGCTGATCAAAGAGACGCCGGGGCGAGCATCGATGGCGCTGCGGTCATTTCTTTTCCCCCAAAGCAGGCGAGCAAGGAAGGGGAACGCAGCCGGGCCGCCATAATTCGCACCTCAAGGTTTTAATTACATGTCTACGCTGTGGCAGCATCACGCCTGGGACGGCGGCTTCCTTTGATCCATCGTCGCAGTATCATTAGGATCGGCCCGGGAGGAGAGCCGGCGGGAGGGCGGCCCCTCGGAAACGTCTGGGCGCGCTCCTACTTAGGCGCAATAAAAATTTGTACTTTATACTCGCGGTTCCGGCCACCGCCGGGCGTTCGTCTGGGAGTGTGCGCGCAGAAGAAAGGCGAGACCGCTGGCCCGCATTGTTCTTCCCCGACTCCTGGCCGGGAGAGGGCCAACAATGGGTGCCGCTCTCGTCGTGAATGGCCTTCGAGGAGAAGATGCGCGGTCATTCAAACGGCCGACATTCCCCGGGCGGGGATATACGTTCCTGTAATCCGCTATTCACTCCCCTGTGATTTCCAGCGAGGAGCTGACGCGCTATCGCGAAACGTGGCGCGTGCATTCACGCGGACGCTCAAAATTCCACAGCGGCCGCGTCTCTCAGGCGGAAATTATTGGGAGATGTTCAGGAGGCACCCGGGCCCTGTCGCGGCTCTTTTCCTGTCTTGAATGTTGTAAAAGCAAGGCTAATGTCTCCTGCGACCATCTCGCCAGAAGAGAAAGTCGGCCAGCCCGCCAAGGGTGGACTCGGATTGAGGCATTGAGACATACGAGGACAGGAAGGCCAAGCGGCGCTCTCGCGAAGCCTTGTGTCTTCCTCCGTAATTTCGTGGACGGCCGCGCCCGGCGTTCATTGCGGGTGCAAAGCCCGAGGCGGAGTTGAACCCAGGGGCAGCCAATCGGGCAATCAGCGGTGGAGACACCAGGCCTGTCAGGGTCCCGTTGTGAGCGGCCCAAGCAGCCGCTGACAAGGGCTTGCCGATACCAGTGAATGGATCCGTAATCGAAGAGGCCGACGAGCCCATTCCGTGGACCCCCCCGGCGCGCACCGGACGTTCCCCGTCGGCGGCCCCTCCACCGTCTCTATTTGTGCGCCTCTCCCCAATCAGTCTCCCTCTCCGCTCAGGTGAGGCTCTCGCGGAAATTAGCGGCACGGTTGCAGGGCCCCCCTCCCCCCTTCGGATGTTTAGCGCCTTAAGGACGGTGCCAGGTTGAGGGTTCAGCCGGGTCACTCCTGTCGGCATCTTCAAAGCGGCGGCAGCTCCTTTTATGCCGCCGGCGAGGAGGGCCGCCGAGGGAGTCCCCCCTCCGGCGGCAATTTCGTGACATCGGCCGGAATCAACGCCTTCGCCGGACACCCGCGTCTCCGCTGCGGGAGTCGCGTCGCTTTTATAGACTCCCCCAAAGTTTGTTGGCCACTTGATGGAAAAAGTGGATGCGTGCCCGGTCTTTAGGCTTCGCTGCTGCGCGGCCCGCCGCAATGGTCGGCCGCCAAATGGCCCCGCTGCTGTTGCTTGCTGCCGCCGTGCTCCAAGGGGTGGGTCGCTGGGCACTTCTCTCACTAAGCATGATATGCTTTGTTCGCTTCTTATTTTGTACGCACGTTTCCTTCATCGTCACTCTTCTGCCCTCTGAGGAAAAATCCCACGTCGAAGACCCACTTGTGGCGTGTACTGTGTCGGGCGCCGCTATGAAAGAAAACACAAGAGCGAGTGGCTTACTTTTCTGTATCCTTGCTCGCTAACCACGCCAGCGGCCATTTGTGATCCCGCCAACGTGGCACCAGCACTGAAGCCTCGCTTTTGAAAGAAGTAAACTCGCGCTGCGCGCTCTAAGAATGCACGTTTCACTCTCAACTTGTAAATAATGATTCATTTGGCGACGATGCACTTATATCAGTTTGGATCATATTCCCCCAAATACGCGCATGCCACTCTGAAATACCATACCATTTAAGACTGTTATGTGGTGCCGAACATTCTTCCAAGTTTACGTCCGCCCGCAATATGCGGCCAGTGAAGGGGGTGCAAGACATCAGAGAAATGCGGAGAAATCAGTTATATTTTGTGCGTTTCAGCACGCATGCTGTGCAATCAACATTTTGCATGTTAGCCAATGCATCCTGCTGCCCCAACAATCATGACGCATGGCGCGTTACAAATTAGTTTTGCTTGTTTCTATCCCTTCCGCGTCATTTGCTGTTTTCACGACCAAGCGCCAAGTAATGATTTTAGGACTACAATTTCAGTTTTCTTGTAGGCAGCAAGACATTCGTGGTGAAATTCATTATTTAGATGCGATGGGTTGGACTGCCCGCCACTGATTGGGATAACAGTTTTGTTTCTACTTAAAGCGTGCGTGCACGAACACACACACACACACACACACACACACACACACACACACACACACCACACACACATCGCGTAACGGTGATACGCTATATATATATGTATATATATACATATATATATAAGCACCCACCGGCTACAATGCTGCACAAGCAATATAAAAATGCCGCTTCATAATACCTTTACAAGAAAACGCATTTTTTCCCGCTGGGATATGTAATATTCAGGAAGGAAAAGAAAGAGAAAAAAATAGCATCGCGGGTCCCAGAAACGGCTTGTTAGAAGCGCCAACTCTGTTAGTCCAGCGCAAAATCGACTAAACTCGCGTCGCGCGACGTTGAAATAGATGGAGCCATTTGAAGAACCCTATAGTAGCGGATGAATGCAGAAAAGAAGTACCAACTGAAAACAGGCATACCGGCATGAAAGGAGTCAGACAAGACTCGAGCTAGGCTGCAGTGGCGCGAGAAGCAAAATAAAAGAAATTGCAAAAAAAAAAAAGGAACGGTCAGTGCTTTCGGCGCGCTGCGGAATTTCGCGAAATCCATGCGAGTTATGCAGAATGGCTCGTATTATGGCGCTGGGAAATGGGAAGACAGAGACAGAACGCCGGCGCGCGAAAGGAAGCGGCCGCTTGAAAAGAGCCGCGCGAATGAAAGGAAAAGAAGGGCCGGCAGTCGCCGAGAGCAGCAATAAACAAGGAACTTCATGTGAGCGTGCACTGTTATATAGACCTCCAGTTGTGAGCGGACGCAGTTTTCGTTGGAGTTGGGCACGCTCATAAATCAAGCTAATGGGGTAAAGCCAACAGCGCCCGTGCTATTAGCCGTCCCAAGAATGCGCTGCAGCCGAGGCGCCGCGACGCCAGCGACGCGCGCTCCTGGCAGACTCGTTAACGTGGAGCGCGCGATGTGATTTGCGCAGATGCTTCTATATATATGCGAGCGTCTTTGTTTGGCCACCTCGGCTGCGTTGCTGCACGGCCGGCCAGAATCAAAAAAGCGCCGGGTGTGCTTATGACAGATGGCCGGCCAGCGCACACATTCGCCATGTCAGCCGGGTTGGAGCTGGAAATAGCGCTGGAACGCCGCCGCAGGGCGGTCCCCGCTCCTCTCGAGTGCGATTCGATTGGAGCTCCGGGGCCGGTTGCGCCCGAACTCTCCGCCGCGATGCATGAGCAACCATCACCCGGGCTCGTTTGTAGACAACGCCCGCATCGCTTGCAGTGAGGGATCCCTCGCCGACGTCTCTTACTTTGCCGAATATGGTTTCTGTTTTTAACGATCAGTTCTAGCGAACGCTACCACTGTTCGTTGCGACCTCTCTTTTCATGCCTTGCTTACGCCTGAAGCTATATATATATATATTGTTAGAAAAATGCAGGAGTCAAGATGGAAACGTGAGTGCATAAACAATTCTTGAACACGGGGTGTTGCTGGAGCCAACCTCTCAGCAAGCAGCTTCCTCTTCTTCAAGTCTGCACCAGCCTTGAAGCCTAGAAACCTTACTGCCCCAAAGAAGACAAGCCATCTTGTAGGAACGTCGGCCAGCGACACCCCTTGTTCACATTTTATTTATGATATAGTTAGCATTCAGCTGTTTTTCTCAACCATTGTTTCCCAATATTTCCCAAGCTGAAGTCAAAAGGGGAGAACTGGTTGCTCTTCCGCGCGAGGTAGTATTAGGACGCTATACCGCCACGACAAAAAAAAAAAAAAACTACATCAAATGAACCTCATCACGCTGGGATAGCGCGTAACGGTCAAATTACGGGCGGCGACCGTCGAGTATTTCGACAAAACTCGGACCAGCGCGAGAATCGAGACGTCTGACGCGCGGACATCGCCGAGAAACAAAGCGTGCGTGCGCGCCGAGGGCGATTGTGTGCCGCAGGGCGGAGGAAATGGCTGTTCGTGAACCCTTCATCATCACCGGCAACGACT